CAGAGGCAAGTGGGCAAGTGGTGAGCCCAACTGCGGTACGTCGGCAGTGCGACTGCATTGAGTTGGCAGTGCAAACCAATGCAGTCAGCGGTACCAGTCCCAGTCAGTCACAGTCCAGTCAAGCAAGTACCGTGTGGGACTGTGTGCACCAGGGGCATGGGAAAGGGGCAGACCAACGAGCTAAAGAAGTATAAATCAAGAGGCAGTGCCCAGCCATTCATTCATTCCTGCGTAAGCCATGCGGAAGCGCTGCCACAGCGACTTGTGCGAGCCATTCATTCATTCCTGCGTAAGCCATGCGGAAACGCTGCCACAGCGACTTGTGCAAGGTGGTCTGCAGTGAGCCCGAAGACGAAGTGGGCGAGAAGGAGAGCGGAGCCATAGCGATAGGGGTAGTAGCGGCCATAGCCGCCATAGCTGATAGAGGGGTGTAGTGTGTGTGTGCGTGTGTGTACAGAGTGACGCGTGTGGGATATCCAGGGTGATCCTGTGTGTGTGAACAGCGAGTTGTACAGGCGCTGTGGCGCCATAGCCATTTAAAGTGAGCTTGTATCTGAACTGCGCTCTTGGTTACCATATCTCTGAGTTCTGAGTGGGCGCTTGTTGCCAGTTTGCTGCACACCTGTTTGCATGTATGTGAAGTGTGAAAACAAGCGAGTATGACTGCACCAGGGTTCCACTACTATAGTTAATAGCATCTTGATTTTTCAATAAAGAAAAAGGCTATAACTCTGCCAAAAATCAGAGAGAGAGAGAGAGAGAGAGAGAGAGAGAGAGAGAGAGAGAGAGAGAGAGAGAGAGAGAGAGAGAGGGAGGGAGAGGGAGGGAGGGTATCCGACAATTTCAGACTGCCAAAACATTAACTGCAGCGTTGCAGGGGGGTTCATGCTTTGGCAGGGTCTCCATGGAAAAGAAGAATAAGACGATGCTTCCTCAGAGTTCCGTACAGAAAAAAAGCCCACCCCATGTGGGAGAGCCCCACCCCCTATTCCACCCTGGGGCGTCAAGGGTCCCAGCATGGGTTTCACGGTTCCAGCCGGGGTTTTCAAGGTCCGTACCTGGGTTTTCAGGGTCCCGGCCGGGTTTTTTAACTTTTTAGGGTCGCAGACTCGCAGCCTGTTTTTGTTTTCTCGTGATCCCAGTCTGGGTTTTCAGTGTCCCAGCCTGGTTCCACGGCCGGAGAGTTTTGTTCCCGGAGTGTTTTTTCTTTACCATCTCAGCAGTGGTTTTTTTTTTTTTTTTTTCCTTTTTGCCATCATCTCATCTGGGGTTTACTGCTTGTGCATAGGTGCATAGCTTTCATTGTTTTCATTCAGCCTCTGGGATGGAAGAAAAGAATTG